GGGTGGTAGTGGAGATGAATCCCTTGCTCAGTGTGAAGCTCAAACGATCTCTTCAGGAAAAGTTGATTCAAACCTCCAGTTTAAATCCTCAACTCAGCTTGAAGCTCAGAGGATCCTTTCAGGGAGAGAAGGTCAGAAAAAATCCAGTTTGCAGGATGACTTCCCAAAATTGGCAAACACTCAGGCCCCGAGGTAGTGGCAGACAGCAGCTTAAGAGCACTCTGCAGGTAATGAGGAAACGAGCTGCAGGTGTGCAGGGAGGCCCAATGAGGACGGGGCACCACCTGGTGGAGGAGAAAAGGAAACACAGAAACAACCCACAAAAACTGGATTCCTGACAAGTTGTATGTGTAAATCCCAACCCAGCTGATCAAGAACTCCTTTTTGAAAAGGTTTTAACCAAGAAATTTCTGTAATTGGTAAGGTGGTCTAGATTAAGAGCAGATCTAGGGTTTTATTGTAGTACTTTAAAAGCCTGTGATACATGTCAGTTTATCTCAGATAATATGGGTCTAAAGAACAAGTGGAAGGTTTATATGAGTTTTATTTATAGAGAGCCCTACTAAGCGCTGAGGGAACATTCCTCTCAACAGAAATATAACCTATGAAAGTCTGGAGACTGTGCTAAAAAAAACTTGAATTGCTTTTGTTCTTTACTATTCACAATGATGAATATTCTATTCTACTTTTTTCAAAGAGGTTTCAATAGCTTACACGGTGAGTGGACCATATTTTCTGGATTAGGTAGAACTTCTAAATGTCTGAAAGACTCTTTGATTCCTCCATTTTCCAAGAGGTTTGATTTAAAATATTTAGCTGTGAAATAATTCAGTATAAACCTAAGCAATCAGTCTAAGAGCTTATGTTCCTGTTAAATCAAGGAAATTAGATATTGAACATATTTTTCAAACTTGTTTATACATACTTCTGCTCAATATCCACTGTAATATATTTTTCTCTTAGAAAAAATGCCCTCTCTGTTGTAGGTAATACATGAATTATTGCACAGGATGAGAATAGAAACAGTAAGACTAGGACACCATCATGGAGACTGTTTACTGAGCATGGTCTGTTTGGCTTCAAGGGTCCACAACAGACATCATGTTCAGGCCAGGAAACCTTTATAATTCACCTGTTTAACTCTGCCTGGTTTCTCATTACAGCTTATCCGATCCACCTGTTTCCAGCTCCTATTTATGCTGCCTGTTTTCCAGCCACTGGTGCCAGATTATTCAAGCCAAGTGTGAGAGTTTTCTAGCAATCTGTGAGTTTTTGATTTTCTGATCTTGACAAGATTTTGTACCCGGACTTCTGAGTTTTTGCTTGCCCCTTTTCTGCTCTGTTGTCTAATCGTTTTGTGGACTGTTACCTGGATTCTGCCTGCAAACTACCTTGGACCTGTCTTCTGACTCCAGCTGTGAATATTCCCTTGGTACCTCTGCATCTCTCTGATCTTCTGGTCTGGCCCCCGGCTTCGCTATTTGTTCTGGATTCTGCATCTGGACCCTACTGCTCATCAGAATCTGCTGGCTGCTCTGCTCCGCTCCTGGAACTCTCTGGGCAGCTCCAGCTGCATGTTGTGTGTTTCTGCAGAGAATCCAGCAAGCTGGAGCAAATCCAGAGCCTTTTAATAAAGCGACATTCCTTTGAATTAAGCTGTTCTGTCTGCCTGAATTCTGGGTCCAGTTGTCTGAGCCTTGACATTTTCTCTGGCATTTTACGTTTTGTCTTGGACACTCAAGTGAAAAGATTGCAAGAGTCGTGAACATGTCATCCACCTGGTGTGGATAAATGTCTGGGTGAAGCTCCCAAACAAACAAGATAAACTAAAACCAGTGGTAAGAAGGAGATGGAAACATCTGCTGCACCATCCAGCTTGGTTGATCTTCTTCTTGCACCTTAAAATGTTTTCTATCCTTTTTTAAAGAAAATTGGGATATACAATCTGTGTGGGATATTTTTCAAGCTTCTATTGCAAATATGACTTTCAGGAGCTGTGACCTAAAGACCAGTTGGCAAGCAACAGCAAAAATGGATTCCATTCACTGAATATGAAATCCTTCAGGGTTTGGTGTGGGACTCCTGAAACGGAAGACACTATCTGATGGTCAGATGAAACTTGATTTCTGTAGGTGAAGAAGGAAAAACTAAGTTGGAGGAATCTGGAGAGAAGAAGTTTTGGTTGGGCATAAGGAAGTTTTAAAAACAGTTTGACAGATGGGGGCAATCAACAAACAGGACAAACAATAAAACAGGGCCTAAGAATCAACTGCTCTAACTCAAAAGATAGAACACTACCAAGCCCACTTTAAAATATTTTCTGAAAGGTTCAGGAAAGAAGGCCCAGGCTGAAAGTATTTTGTACAACTCTTACTAATTTTCCATTTCCTTAAAGTGCTGCAGAATATACATTGTGGGAGAAAAATCATGGTGCAAAAAAAATGCATTGATATAGTCAGTTTGATGCAGAGTCTGTGACATGATTTAGAGACCGAACAGAAGTAAAAATCATTCAAAACTATTGGATAAAGATTCTCAAGTCTGGTAACCACTCCTCCACTGACCATCACGCTGCCCCTAAATCTGATGATAACCTGAAAGCCCACACCATCTAACCACTCAAACCACCTCAGTCCCAGGAACTCAGCCTGACTGCTATGTTTTACATCACACAACCGACCACCACCTTCTGCTCCGGATCCACTCACCTCTCCATCTTTCTTATACACT